CACAAGCCTTGCTATATGAGCTCTCAAAGCATATAAAAATTATACGGCTTAAATGTGAGGTTGGGTGCAAAAGAATACAATTAAATCCTCCGTCGGGAAAAAACGAAATGACTTTCCGAACAACCCAATACTTACAAAATTATAACGAGGACCATAGCCAAGAACAGTTAATGTATTTTTATGTAGGTACGTAGCTAAAAAAATCAATAAACTTTCTTATGTCTTCCTCTGCCATTTCCAAACGAGACCATCTAAACGTTAGGAAAAAGTCAGGCAGGCTTCGATGAGCAGGTTAATTTATCAATAAAAACCATATTGTTCTATTATTTCTGTGCAAATGATTGTGTCACTGTTATTATTAGGTATAATTAGTTTTGTTATTACACGTTGTGACGAAATATTTAAGTTAGGATGTAATTTTTGCTGTCGTAGATATTTCGGATTGGGTTTATGGCTTCCGGAAATATTTACGAGATTTCGACATTACCATCTTGCTAATCAAAATTCGACAGTATCTTTAAGAGATTTAATGAGAATCGACGAGGTGTCCCAAAATAACGACTGCAGCCCGACATTCGATAGTACAGTATTTCAAAACACATTGGCCATGGGTATCAGTTCTTTGGTGTGCCATTTAACGTCTGGCTTTTTGGCTGGAAGAATTGATCGAAAAATAATTCCGACAGGAACTATGCTTTTAGCTGGGCTTTGCTCAGCGGTCATCTATTTCTTAAGTGATTCGTTACAGATCGTGATAGTGGCATGTGCCTTTCAAAGTTCCATTGCTACGGCCAATATGGCGCTGTCGAGCATTACCGTTGATCTTTTTCCGACTTCCGTTAACGCAGTGGGTACTTGTTTGGTAACATGTGCCGGAAGAATTGGTGCCATCGTAAGCAACGTGTTATTTGGTTATTTAATGAGTACCATGACCGCGGTACCTCTTTTTTCCGTCGCTATTGTTTTACTCATAACCGGACTCATGTGTCTAATAATTCCCGTTGAAAATAATAATTAGAAAGTCGTAAAATC